TGACACATGTTCACTCTTATTCTTATTCTGTCTTATTCTAATACTCAATATCATGGAAATCCAAGAGAGAGCTATACGAAATCCTTGGACAAGTTACCTGCTTCTAAGATGAGCTAAATAACATGGATATGAAAAAAATTACTTGCTTGCAGGACATACTGAAGGAACTGATGTATCGGACCCTCTATAGCGGTGGTGCCTAAACCGCGGGCAAAAAGTGCGGGGGGCACTTTTGACCGCGAGGCCCTAACCCACAATAAAAACCGTTTAGTTAAATCCTTAAAATAATATGCGTTAATATTAGTGAATGGCCCGCGATTACTGCGGGAGTGAGCTACGTGACCCTGTCGCCGAAAACATTGGGCATCACTGTTCCAGAACATTCCTACAGTGGTGCACCTATGGAGCTGTTCAAGAGGAAGTTAGAAGGTGATGGTAGGGAGGTGTACTTTACTCCCTTAACAGTATTTGCGCTCAATTTTTGCTTTTGACAGTTTTAAAGTGATCTTAGGGCAACTTTAACCCAAAATTTGCTTCACAAATGGTGAGACCCGTGTGTGGTCCTGAGAGAGACAGTTACGATATTCCACATCCTTACGGCCCAAGCAAAATGAATGTGCATGCAACAAGGTTAAAGGCTTATTTCGAGGCATCGGAAATTCCCGGTCTTAGGCTGCATGTGAATGCCCCCCAGCTGACGACTGTGATGCCCAAACCCCCGTGCAAATCAGTCGGTGTTGAGGAAAATTTAAGTAAGAAAATTTAAAGCATCATTCCCACGAACGTTCACAACAGGATATGTTTTCTCCTTCAATAAGCACCGACTCAGCAGGTGAGGGGAGAAATGGCGCACACGCGGATCAAGAAAAATTCACTCCACACGAGTGTGAGGTGGAGAAAGTTTACATTCTCGCACCAAACACCCTTAAAAGGGTCCACATGTGAGTACCTCGGAAGAACTGACAAACCCCATACGACCACGGCCAACCAAGACAAGGCCATTGAATTCCTGGTTGATCCATGGCTTATTCTTTCAACCAACCCTTCAGGAAAACATACTTCGGCGACAACGGGACAGGACTTAACGACTGACGTGAATCGGGCAGGTTAGGGAAATATGCTCACACCTTCCAGCAGGGACGACAACTTCGATCCTTTGGGCTATGGATTGAAATGAATGGCGATGCAGAATTTAGACTTGATATAACCCTACCCATTCCAATTTCCGTATCAACTTGTATCTCGCTCCCACACCGTAATACCTTCCAGGGCCCTAAAAACTGCTCTTTCGGGTATCCCAGACGAGAGGACCCATGGCTCCGACGCTGCAAGTCACGCGGCCATATCTGGTGCTGTCCGGATTCAGGCAAATTCATCCCGTTAGCAAATGAAGGAGCATTCTTCGCAAAAATCCCCCAATCGGTAAAAATTATTTTATTGCCTTCCCATTGCCTGAATACATTTCATGAACAGGATTTGTCCTTATCTATGACACATCATGTCGGTTCAGCCTTTTTAATTTAAAGAGAATTTAGTATTAAAAATGTATGCTAGCCGCGGAAAACACGGTGAGAACTCCATTGCCACCTACGGTGCTATCTGCACCATAATTTGCAGCGAGAGATGATCTTACCTTTAGAAATCAGACAAGGACTGATACATTTCGTGGCTTCCGCAGGCGATAGGCCTAAACGCCTCAGCTTTTCCAAGTCATAGGCTAAGTGCGATAGTGGGAACAAGAATGATTTTGATGTATTAATATTTCACCGAGGATATGAATGTTAAGAGTAGCGTCGCTTGGAGACAGCGTTCGGCTGTTAATTGCAGAGGGAAGTGTGGCTAACAATGCCTTAAGAGCAGCAACGTGTGCCGTTTCGGACGTCATTCCATCCGTCGCCTACGATCTCGATCCTATGGATGCGGAATGCGATGTTGAGCATTGAGCCCCTATCACTCGGAAGCGGAGAAAGGCAGAAGAAGGCGCAGTTGTCCTAGTGGTGAGGCGTTCCATCCGGACCCGAGCATCCGCCGTCGATTGGGGAAGATCCAAACGCTATCAATCTTTGCGAGTTCACCAGGCAATACAAAAGCGCAAACGCATTCGCTCCCTGTTGTGGAAAAATCAGGTGACGATTCGAGCTACCGACGTCATCATCTGTGATGAAGCGCCGATGCCACGGGCGTTGCCAGACTGAAAGAACTTCATTCAATACCAAATTGATTGTGCCGGGTGGGCCTGCTTGTTCCACGTCCTCTCAGGAGATTGAATTATCTTGCTATGGTTTCCCTGGTGTGTCGAAGATGCCGTGGTTCTCATTTCCTATGAAGTACGAGAAGAAGTACTAGTGCAAAATCTAGGCGTGCTCAGGTATTGGACATTAAACTATCGCGTTTGAGTTGTATGATATCTCCAGGAAAATGTTTCCAACGAACTACGCATTCATGTACAATTTAGTGTAAGAGTTTCTTTAGATATATGTTAATGGTTGGATGATATCCCACTGCTTTGGATTGATTATGTGGTAAGACGTAGACCTGAGCGCCTGTTCGGTTTAACGTTGCAAATCCATACCTCCACGAAAGAAAAATGAGAAGGGTCGCAAAAGTAACAGCATCAGAAACAGAACCGTACCAAGATCTCAATAAATTTATGATTCTGATGTTGATCATCCAGATGATCCAGTCAGCTAAAGCCCACTTCCCTTTGTTTATTTTGATCGAACATTTGCTAGTTACTCATTTGGTTTTTTTGTTTTCGCTTTTTCCCTTCTAATTGTATTTTTTCTATTAGAATGTCAAGCCATAGTTGTGCTCAAATTTCAAAGCTGTGTTCCAGAAAAAAAAAAATATTTGATTCCTCGTTTGTTTGCTTTTCTCTTACGGAAACAAAAAGAATGTGCGATCAGATCCGGCAAAAATTAGTCACTAGGGTAGCTGAGGCTGCCCGTACAGATAACGGAGTGAAAGGAAGAAATTCCGCGTTCGAGTCACGGAGCGCATCCGTTCGACTGAGTGTGTAGCCGTTCGACTCGAGATGCAGCACGTACGATAATGGCGTGTCCCCTTTCGAGGGGCGCTGCACACCAACTTTCCGTCATTAAATATGTATGCCTACCATTTCTTGACTCATGAAAACTGGTAGTTTCAGAGAGGGGCGAAATAAAATGGTCGCCCCCTCGTCTGGCCATTATGGGCTGAGGGGAAGGCTGGATTCGATAATTGGACGGAAAAATAGTTCGAGTTTCGTTGTTTTCCCTTACCAGACTTCGGATTCCATGTAAGCATTCTTCCCCCGGGCGTAAGTGTTTCAATTAATTTCTGCGTTAATGCTGTCAAATTAGGCAGCTTTTCCAAAGGGGCCAATGTGTCTTTGGAAATAAACCCTTCTCGATTGGCTTCTGGAATAATTTTTGCGAAAACAATCGATACGTTTTCTGGAATCCTTGAAGGTGACCTTCACTTCATAAAAAATTGATGTTCATAATAATAATCATACAAAAACAATAACACAATATGCCAACTGAAAAGTCATTTACCCCCCCGAGAGACCCCTGGCCTGACAACACCACCTGTTTGCTGGCTTCATCTACCCAACTCTCCGATTATCTCCTACTTCAACTCAACGACTCAACCATCACCCCATCCGACAATCACCAACCAATTTCCATCTGTATATTTCACTTCGTCCCACCTCATATCCTGTTTTGTAAAGGGTACGACATGTAAATGGTCAATCGCGAAAAAAATGTATATGGTTCCGTATCTGGAGAACTTGTTATGCCAGTCTGGTTTACTGACAGCATTTTGATATTTACCCAAATAAATAACTGAGCGCACAAGTTGTAATTACCTCACAGGACGATGTGGCAACCTTGACAACTTCCTTCAACAAGCTACTTTTACGCCCACTCCACTCAAGAATGTACAAACCTTTATGAATGCATTTAACTAATTCAGCACTTCCGGAACGGGATCGCAAAACGGATTCTCAATTTCTAGGATAAACGTGTACTTAATAGGCATGACGCAATATTTCTACCATCGCAAGTTCACAAAAACCTTTTCCTGAATGATTAATCTCCAGTACCAATAATTAAAAGGGTACCATTTGCGCGATTCGCAAACAGTAGCATGATAGGATATGCGTTAATTATAATGTTGATTAAGTTAGAGAAGCCACTCAATGAACTTAAGCAGCCCTTAATCCAGAAACTTTTTCAACGATGATGTGGATCAGGGAGAGAAAGATCAGGCGATAGAGGTGCCCACTCAGCGCTGCTCTAAATTGAGGAATCATCTCATCCGAAGGAAAGGTCTGTGGGACAGGGGTCGTCAGGGCTGTGTCTCTCGTGTCCATAAGATCCTCAGGTAAGTAAAACACGAATACGAGCTTTGTGACAAGGAAAATGGGGTTGACATCCCTTACTGATTTTCAAAAATTCACTAGCCGTCTTTAATCCCAGGGATTAGTGAGCGAGTGGATCAATATAGGTAATGAGACGAGGGTGAGAAATGAAACATTCACATGACATTTCATTAGTGCTGGGTTTTATTTGGTGAAGGCAAAGTTTCCTTACATTTGAACCATGAAACTTTCCTGAAACCATGAAGCATTTCGAAAGTTCAATCACTAGTGAAAGTCAATTTTTCAAGCGGCACTGGGCGTCTCCACCACAAATTACCTAGATGATCTTTGCTCTGTCTCATGACAAAGAGATTTTCGGCAATTTTCAGTCGACGAGAGAAATATAGTGCAACGGTTGTATTTCCAATGAGTATCATGTTGCACATATTTTTCTAAGATCAGCGATGAACGAAGGCAAGAACGGAACCATTATTCCGAGTTTCCTTTATGGGTGAAAGAGTGCAGAGGAGGGAATCCCTGAACTTCGGTTCACGATTGTTCTGGTCTGTCCCTAGCAAGAATCATAGAGAAGATGAATGCGATGAATGCAGTGACTGTATTGCGAACATTGCATTAACTCACAAGAGATGAGGTCTCATCGCTTCGACCCCATCGCCTCAGGCCGAGGCTTCCTCCAGCCATACAGGAAGATGTTGAATATCCACTCCATCACTTCCAGGATGGAGATGAAGGACAGCCCGGCGTAGAGCCCCAGCATCCCTCCCAACGTCCCAATGAAGCTCGACCACTAACCAATGAGAAGTGTTGCGGACCGAATAGTGACATATTCGGGTATCTGAACCTATGGACCCATGAACGATTTCCACTTACGGGATATTGAAGATGTTCCGTGATTGTCTCCACTACAAAGGTCTCATAGTAGACGTTCACCACTGCAAGATTTTCTCTGAATAGAAAATTGAAAAGCACGAGCTTGTAGACCGGAAATCATATCCCAATCGGCGAATCGTCTAGTTTTATGCTTCAATCATTCCAATTATCACCGAAACTCTGATTTTAATTGGACATACTTCGGATCGAGACAGAAAGTCCTGTTTTTCAGCTCGCTCTCATTCATCTTCTTCCTTTTCGCCTCTGCCATCCAGTTGATAAAATGCAGGAGTAACACCTCCTCGCGACTCAACTCCGCTGAGGTGAACGACCAGGAATATGTCTCCTCTCTGAAAAAAATTTACCCATCTCAATTGGTTTTTCTCTTCACATGCAGAGTGTGTATCCAGAAGGAAGCTTACGAGCAGGTTACATGGGGACAATCGCAGAACCCTTTTGAGTCAAACTCGTTGGCCAGCCGCTGGAAGATTTCGTCGTTTGCACCTGTCCTCCATTAATATCATAGAAGAAATCTCTTGATAACTATTAATTAATATCACGATGACATTGCAAGTCTTTATGATTAAGCATCTCATTTGGTCATGAAATCAATCGTAGTCACACAATCCGGGTTCACTCAGACGAAGAGAAATAATTATAGAATTTCTTACATCCGCATGTTTTATTGATTTTCACGAGATTTTGCCCGCCGAAAGCCGAGATACAGCATAGGGCGAGAGAGTCATTTTTCCCCCGGTCGGCAAGGCACATAAGCCGACACAGCTGACGAAACATAGTAAAGTGAAGAAAATGTGTAATGGCCAGATTTTCTAGATGAACTGAGAGACCTAACCTATGGAGCCTTCCTCACCTGGTTGGTGTATTCATATTTGGTTTTAAGATTGAACATGTTGAGGTCAAACCGCTTTTCGAGGTAGGAAGCTGGAGCACAATCTCCACCTTCGTCTGGAGGAAGTCGCTGCAATACCAGCTTCTTGGGAGTGACGTGAGAAATCGTTCCCAAGTTTACCTCATATTCCTTTCCAAATATAGTTTCGTATTCTGCTCCAGGAGAATGAATTTGGAGACGGAATCCAGTCGCCAAATACCGATTCTTTTGGTTCCAGACATGAGGTTTCAATATAAGTTGCAGTCCATCCTGCGAAATACAATTCAGAGGGAAAAAAATAAAACATATCAGTTCCATTGATCAATTTCTACGGAATTATTAACGACTCGACTCACAGAGGATCCCATGCCGCTGATGATTGATGATGTCCCCTGTCTCTCCGAGAGGCGCTTGACTGTCTTGACTCCATCGTCATTGAAAATGAGACAGCTTCCAAACCCATCCCTCTTGAAATCACTGGGAAAATCCAATAACTCAAGTTTCGTATAATTTCCCAGGTTACATAAGTTGCCTGTTTATTAGAGAAACTGACTTCCTCCATTATGTTTACAGTAACTTTGTTCGAGCACTTTCTTTAAAAAATAGAGTAGATTTCTTACTAACGTAAGGAACTCATCTCAAACAAAATTATAACTTTAAATTCACAACTTGAAGTAAATGTGGCCATACATGGAGACGGAGTGAATCGGGTGAAATGGTCAGATGCACTTACGAATAGTTGCAAGTTTTCGAATTGAAGCTGCAATAGAGTATGTGCTGCAGGGTCTTCTTGAAATCGGCTTCCAAATCCGGATTTTTGTGATTCTCACCGAAACCATTGGTTTCATTTGAATTCATCCAAAATCTTCTGTCCCAAACTCTTCTGTCCTTCAACAAATGGAAAAACGGGGCCCCCTCTTCACTGAACGTCGAGTTGCCTACAGAGAAATATTGTATTTTCATATTCGTTAGAAATAGTATCACGGTGAAGCAGTCAGATCGTGACGGATATTCATTGTCTTAGCATTTACATTCTCCCTCATGAAAAAAAACAATTAATATTCTTCGACGCTCGACCTTGCAGGAAAATAATTAACTCATCCTGAAAAATAAACCTGCCCATTTGGCTTTCACATCCTAGGAAGCTGAGTAACGTTTCGTTACTTGGCTAATTTTTTTTCCAGAGTTAAATTGTTGGCATCTATGGCATGCTGTTGCCACCAGGATCTTACCAAGATTAAACAAAATGGTTTTTAACTTAACTATAGAATATATGTATCGAAAAAAAATTTTCCCCCGCCCAGTGCCTTTCTTAACATAGTTTTAGGAGCAATATGCTCAAGCAAGACACATTGCAATCGTATGGCAATAAGTGTATTTCCATATGAATGATGAAAAAAGATAAACTCGCATTCCGCATATGGTTTGATGCAGAAGTTTTGCTCTCCATTCTCGTCCTTACTACAATCAGCTTTGTAGAAGAAAGGATGGAGATCTGCTTTTGCCTGTTGGCATGTGATATTCAACCTTGAATGCTCCCTAAGTGACGAAAGCAGTAAAGTAAAACTCCGCGCATGTGTTGGGAGTTTTGGAAATTCGTTCGATGGGCAATATATCTTGGGGCAAATCTTGACGGCTGGGAAAAGGAGATTATCCTTCATCTCCACCTATTTTGTGATTCAGAAGGAGAACGCATTATTCCCTGTTGAGAAACAGACTCGGATAATAACACATTCGCTACCATGTACGATTTGTTGTTTATTTCTTCGAGAAATGTCATTCTAATGTCTCACAATGCCTTACAGTTGGTGCTCTGAAATTTCAATCCCTGGAAGTGAATGTGTTAAGTGGACAATTGAGATTGGATTCAGGGTGATGTACCTGAGTCGAGGTAGTCACTGCACCAGACATGAACGCCGTGAAGACTCCGATGATCCCGTGGGTCATGTAACACGATGCGGTAATGAAGACGAGAAGCCAGATTGTCTTTCTGAAGCGAGAGGAGTCCGTATACGCAAAACGACCCAGACCCTGAATAATCAGATTCATCAGCGCTCTATCGAAGGATCAGTCCGCGTCTTCTTAAGACGTTGAGGACCGGACGGAAGTGTGTTACTATAGCCCTGGTTCCAGGGTCTTTCATGCAAACATAACTGAAAAAGCACTGCAGTAATGAAAAGCCATTACTCCTAAAGTTCTAAATGGATTTGTCTTAAATTTAATAGCTTCGAGGCTAAAAACTCCCTAGAGTATTTGTTCAATGAGTTCGAAACCCCCCTCCCCCAAAATATGCGTATTTTTCGTTTCATCCGCAAAATCTGTGTTTACAGGGGTCCCGTCCTCAATGATTATGAGAATGGGAATTACATTGGACGAATTTTAATTGCCGAGCAGGCGTTGATAGCTCAAACCGAGCAGCATGTAACATTGAATCAACGTTGTTTCAACGTTCAGATGTTGAACCAACATTTAATCAATATTGTTTCAAGGTTATATGGTGCAAGGGAAAACGTAAGGAATCAAATAATTGTGTTGCACCCCTACANCCGAAAGCCGAGATACAGCATAGGGCGAGAGAGTCATTTTTCCCCCGGTCGGCAAGGCACATAAGCCGACACAGCTGACGAAACATAGTAAAGTGAAGAAAATGTGTAATGGCCAGATTTTCTAGATGAACTGAGAGACCTAACCTATGGAGCCTTCCTCACCTGGTTGGTGTATTCATATTTGGTTTTAAGATTGAACATGTTGAGGTCAAACCGCTTTTCGAGGTAGGAAGCTGGAGCACAATCTCCACCTTCGTCTGGAGGAAGTCGCTGCAATACCAGCTTCTTGGGAGTGACGTGAGAAATCGTTCCCAAGTTTACCTCATATTCCTTTCCAAATATAGTTTCGTATTCTGCTCCGGGAGAATAAATTTGGAGACGGAATCCAGTCGCCAAATACCGATTCTTTTGGTTCCAGACATGAGGTTTTAATATAAGTTGCAGTCCATCCTGCGAAATACAATTCAGAGGGAAAAAAATAAAACATATCAGTTCCATTGATCAATTTCTTCGGAATTATTAACGACTCGACTCACAGAGGATCCCATGCCGCTGATGATTGATGATGTCCCCTGTCTCTCCGAGCGGCGCTTGACTGTCTTGACTCCATCGTCATTGAAAATGAGACAGCTTCCAAATCCATCCCTCTTGAAATCACTGGGAAAATCCAATAACTCAAGTTTCGTATAATTTCCCAGGTTACATAAGTTGCCTGTTTATTAGGGAAACTCACTTCCTCCATTATGTTTACAGTAACTTTGTTCGAGCACTTTCTTTAAAAAATAGAGTAGATTTCTTACTAACGTAAGGAACTCGTCTCAAACAAAATTGTAATTTAAATTCACAACTTGAAGTAAATGTGGTCATACATGGAGATGGAGTGAATCGGGTGAAATGGTCAGATGCACTTACGAATAGTTGCAAGTTTTCGAATTGAAGCTGCAATAGAGTATGTGCTGCAGGGTCTTCTTGAAATCGGCTTCCAAATCCGGATTTTTTTTATTCTCACCGAAACCATTGGTTTCATTTGAATTCATCCAAAATTTTCTGTCCCAAACTCTTCTGTCCTTCAACAAATGGAAAAACGGGGCCCCCTCTTCACTGAACGTCGAATTGCCTACAGAGAAATATTGTATTTTCATATTCGTCAGAAATAGTATCACGGTGAAGCAGTCAGATCGTGACGGATATTCATTGTTTTAGCATTTACATTCTCCCTCATGAAAAAAAACAATTGATATTCTTCGACCTTGCAGGAAAATAATTAACACATCCTGAAAAATAAACCTGCCCATTTGGCTTTCACATCCTAGGAAGCTGAGTAACGTTTCGTTACTTGGCTAATTTTTTTTCCAGAGTTAAATTGTTTGCATCTATGGGATGCCGTTGCCACCAGGACCTTACCAAGATTAAACAAAATGGATTTTAACTTAACTATAGAATATATGTATCGAAAAAAATTTCCGAAAAAAAACAGTTTTAGGAGCAATCTGCTCAAGCAAGACACATTGCAATCGTATGGCAATAAGTGTATTTCCATATGAATGATGAAAAAAGATAAACTCGCATTCCGCATATGGTTTGATGCAGAAGTTTTGCTCTCCATTCTCGTCCTTACTACAATCAGCTTTGTAGAAGAAAGGATGGAGATCTGCTTTTGCCTGTTGGCATGTGATATTCAACCTTGAATGCTCCCTAAGCGACGAAAGCAGTAAAGTAAAACTCCGCGCATGTGTTGGGAGTTTTGGAAATTCGTTCGATGGGCAATATATCTTGGGGCAAATCTTGACGGCTGGGAAAAGGAGATTATCCTTCATCTCCACCTATTTTGTGATTCAGAAGGAGAACGCATTATTCCCTGTTGAGAAACAGACTCGGATAATAACACATTCGCTACCATGTACGATTTGTTGTTTATTTCTTCGAGAAATGTCATTCTAATGTCTCACAATGCCTTACAGTTGGTGCTCTGAAATTTCAATCCCTGGAAGTGAATGTGTTAAGTGGACAATTGAGATTGGATTCAGGGTGATGTACCTGAGTCGAGGTAGTCACTGCACCAGACATGAACGCCGTGAAGACTCCGATGATCCCGTGGGTCATGTAACACGATGCGGTAATGAAGACGAGAAGCCAGATTGTCTTTCTGAAGCGAGAGGAGTCCGTATACGCAAAACGACCCAGACCCTGAATAATCAGATTCATCAGCGCTCTATCGAAGGATCAGTCCGCGTCTTCTTAAGACGTTGAGGACCGGACGGAAGTGTGTTACTATAGCCCTGGTTCCAGGGTCTTTCATGCAAACATAACTGAAAAAGCACTGCAGTAATGAAAAGCCATTACTCCTAAAGTTCTAAATGGATTTGTCTTAAATTTAATAGCTTCGAGGCTAAAAACTCCCTAGAGTATTTGTTCAATGAGTTCGAAACCCCCCTCCCCCAAAATATGCGTATTTTTCGTTTCATCCGCAAAATCTGTGTTTACAGGGGTCCCGTCCTCAATGATTATGAGAATGGGAATTACATTGGACGAATTTTAATTGCCGAGCAGGCGTTGATAGCTCAAACCGAGCAGCATGTAACATTGAATCAACGTTGTTTCAACGTTCAGATGTTGAACCAACATTTAATCAATATTGTTTCAAGGTTATATGGTGCAAGGGAAAACGTAAGGAATCAAATAATTGTGTTGCACCCCTACAGTTTGGTGCAAAAGTAAGTGAACCCCCATGCATTATGCATAAACATGCAAATAACTTTTTTAAGAAGCAACAAAATCACAAAGCAAGTGATGCAGATAATCAATGAACAAAGCTGCTTATTGTACCTGGGGTGAAGACCTCTTCTTGCCTGTGGTACAGCAGGTTCCCCGGCACTAGCCCACTGTCGACGACGCTTAACATTGTGATAAAGCAACCATTTTTCATCCCCAGTAATGAGTCGATTCAAAGACGGCGCTTGAAGTGCACCTGAGTGTAGGGAAGAGCAAATGTTTACTCGATCCTTAAGATCGTCTGGTGACAACACATGTGGAACCCACTTTCCAAGTTTTGACACTTTTCCTAGCCGGCGCAAGTGGCGGTGAACGGTGGAATGGGTGGAATTGAGCTTCTGAGCAAGTAAGCTTGCCCTTTTCGCTGGTGAAAAATCATGCTTGGAAAAGCCGACCCACCCAAAAGCTAAGCCCAGAGGAGATGCACCATGAAAGCTGAATACTCGCTCAACTCAATAATATCACGTCACTTATACGTGTGCCATGTTTCACCTTTCCATTTCTGTCCAATTCGTCAGGACAATTTTTTTTTAAACATCGCCGCTCGAAATATTTTTTTTAAATATCGCCCTCGATAAATTTTCCGCATGGGATGTATTAATATCAGGACTCAACATTTTCCTTTAACTCCTTATCTTGGTAGTCATATTTATGCAAAGTTCCAGCTTTCCATGTCCAACAGTTTAATCCAAAAAAAAAGTGAAAACATCTCCCTTTAAATGCATGCCCCCAGGGCATTTCATTCCAAAGTCTGAATTCTTCTGCACGCAGCATCGCGGTATGTAATTATGTCGCAAGTTTCATCTTTCCACACTAGCTCAATACACCAGGAAAAAGAAAAAAAACTTGAAAACGTCGGCCCCAAAAAATATGCCCCCAAGGCATGGATCTAAAATTTTGCATTTTTCCTGAACTCATTGTGTCGGTAGGCACGTTCATGCCACGTTTCAGCTTTCCATGTCTTTCCGTTTTATTGAAGCAACGGGACATGGAAGAAAAGAGAAGCCCCAAAAAGGCAAGGAATGGTCGGGAATTGAACCCAAGCCTCACGATTACCGGTCAGATGTGCTACCACTACATCATCAAAACAGGGACATCCTGTTGTATCTCTGGATCCCATCCTTATCCGTCACGATACATGTTTTTAAAAAACTTCTCCCCCCAAAATGTGTACCCCCAGGGCGTGTACCTCCAAAGTCGGATGTTTTCTGAACTCTGCACCCCAAAGGTACATGTGTACCAAGTTTGAGATTTCTAACCTTTCTGGAACATGGTTAGAATTAGCGTCAGTCAGGATCGTCTATATATATTAGATACTATTATCATTATTTGTATTGATTTTGTTGTTGCTCTTAATAAATAATGCTGGAGTCATACCGGTTCCCATTGACAACGAAGTCCGCGTTCCTGCAATCTTGCGAGCCCAGGAGACGGATCTCGGGACACGACATCGTCATGTCTTGCGGGCACTGGACAGAAACAAGAACCACAACTATAACGAACGGCGAAAGAAACCCGAGAAACGGCGCGGTAAGCCCCAAAGAAATGCCTCCCACCGTGAAGCGATATCTGCAGGCTCGGACGAAGACCCCCCCCGTCGGGCGACAGACTCTCCTTGAGGTCGAAGGACTCGCCGGGGGCGAGGCGCTTGCTGGCGACGCAGGGCGCGATCTCGTTCGGGCCTGCAACATCTCATTTCCTTTGTATGACGAACTCTTAACTTACGGAATGAATTTAATTAAATGAAATTTGTAGAATGAATTTATTTTTGTTACGATGCCATACTTATATCGGAATATGCATATTATTAGTGAGTCTTATTGATTCGAAAATAATTTTTTCCATTAGGGACAAAATAAATTTCCTTGTCGCAAAATATCCTTGCTTTAAAAAGGCTTCAATTTCCGAGCTATTAATTTCTCACGTAAAGGTATTTCTCAACGATCACCTCCAGTCGAATTTGTTACTGCAGACTTTTACTTTTGGCTCAGTTCCTGACCTTAGCATGATGGATGTGCGTGCTTCCTCCTTTTGTTGTTTGTTATTGGATATTGCAGGGTGAAATTTCGGTGGTGGCATAAGTATGAATGGAAATTCGCAGAGACTTTTTCATTCATCCTATGGGCCGTTCCATAACGCTAACGGCCTTCACAGTTAAAGTTCGTCTAATCTGTGTAGGCTGACGGGAAAAAAGGAACAAAAGAAAGACCGTTAGTTTCTATTGTTCGTCACGAATATCCGATACCATTGTTGGAATAGCAAACTTTTTCTAACCCAAACTACCTTGTCTCGAGCGGAAATGAGGTTATATGTTGTGGAAACTGAAGGAGACCTCTGGTGGAAACAGCCTCAATCCACGAATTGAAGAAAGTCAATACTGCAGCCTTTCTCACATTGCAACGGGACCCATCAAGACCAAGAATTCAGAAATGAAGAACCCTTCCGTGTGGAATGACTGGAGACAGTGTTCGACAGATTGGCTTAATTTAGGCCGTGGATATATTGAGCCCCTTTAAAATATCCGACCACCGTAATCACCCATTAGGGAAGTCGCGAGGATACACAGGTTCCTTGGACCTAATCTGCATCTATGAACCTTCACTGATACGGATAACATACTTCACACCTAAAAATTCACTTCTGGCTTCCGTTTGCCTTCATGAAAAAAAATTAAAAAGCAGACCGAGAACTCACGAGATCTCACAAAACCATTCGCTGTCGCCCGTCCCTACGGAAAGAGAAAAATGCCAGTATGAGTGCAAAATACACGGCAACTACCTGCTTCATCACGCAGCCGAGGTGCTTCTACATATGAGGTGCTTCGAGATAGTTTAAACGTTTCAAGGAAACGGAAATGAACTCATGTTCATAGATTGGGATCATTGCGTTCAGTTCCAGGGCCATGCACAAGTGACGGAGTCGATAACGCTAGAGCGGATTCAGAGGAATCCACCTAAGCGGTAACCGAGGTGGGGGCACCTTAACACAATAGGGAGTGCGAAGCTTTGGTTCAAGCCATTGTCACATACAGTTTGGTGCAAAAGTAAGTGAACCCCCATGCATTATGCATAAACATGCAAATAACTTTTTTAAGAAGCAACAAAATCACAAAGCAAGTGATGCAGATAATCAATGAACAAAGCTGCTTATTGTCCTGGGTTGGCTTGAATATTCACTGGCTGAAGCACGAACAATCAGCAAAAAACTAAAAAACCAAGGGTGCAAAAGTAAGTGAACCCCTAAAGATATTCACCAGCCACTGCCAACAAAGCAGCTCTGGGCCACGGAACTGCTGCCACCAGCACTCCACTCACTGTACACTGGGTCCTGGCAGTGTGCTGGCCCCACCCCAACCGCCTGAGTCCGATTGAGTCAGCATCAGGCTGGCACATTCAGCCTTAAGTGCAGGCAGCAGGCTGTCAGTTCCAGCTCTCGCCCTCAATCATGCCACGCGGTAAGCAGTTGGCTGACGACCTGAAACGGCGTATCGTGGCTGCGCACGAGGCAGGAGACGGGTACAAGAAGATTTCTAGCCGACTGTCTGTGCACATTTCCACTGTTCGCAGTGTGATTTACAAGTGGCGCAGTCACAGAATCGTC